GCTTGTACTTCTCATGATCATTGAGCTCCAACCAGTGGAAGGAGGAAAGGAGAAAGACAAAAGGGGCTGGTGGAGTGGTTCAAGTGTAGACCACCTGCCTAGCAAGTGTGAGGCCCTGAGTTCAAACCCTAGTGCTGCAAAAGAAAAAAAGAAAGAAAGACAAAAGAGCCTGCCATGGGAGACTGTCTTTTTTTTTAAGCTTTCTCTGGTAGCCCAATGACTGCTACCTGTATCTGGTAGAATATACTCAGTTAAAAGTTTACCCTGCCAGGCGCCAGTGGCTCACGCCTGTATCTTAGTTACTCAGGAGGCAGAGATAAGGGGGATTGCAGTTCGAAGCCAGCCTAGGAAATAGTTTGTGAGACCCTATCTCGAAAATACCTAACACAAAAAGGGCTGGTGGAGTGGCTCAAGGTATAGGCAGGCTCTGAGTTCAAGCTTCAGTGCTACAAAAAAAAAAAAAAAAAAAAGCTCACTTCTATCTGCAAGGGAGGGTAAAAAATGTAATTTTCAGCAGGGCACAGTTGACACCAACAACAATCTCAAGGTTCTATTTAAGGATGAAATGAAAATGAATATTGAGTGTTTATTGGACAGGGAAATCTGTAGTCTTTAACACAGTTCTTATAAAACATGTTCTTTGGTGGGTGCCAGTGTCTTTACGCCTATAATCTTAGCTACTCAGGAGCAGCAGCAATCAGGAGGATGGAAGTTCAAAGCCACCCTGGGCAAATAGTTTTGCGAGGCCCTATCTCAAAAAACCCATCACACAAAAAAATGGGCTGGTGGAGTGGCTCAAGGTGTAGCCCCCAGTTCAAACCCCAGTACCAGAAACAACAGCAACAATAAAAAAATAAATGTTCACTCATTTCATTGTAATAACATTTCCTTTTATTGGAATGTGGGGTTTGTCTCTCCTTTGGACTTATTTATTGACCATTCATAATTCTAATCTGTCTTAACATGTATTTTTCACCTTAGATTTTTATGTACTTCACTTGAGATCAAATGATCTTGGTTTGAGCTTTAGCTCTGTCACTAATTAATCATGTGATACTAGACATTTCATGTAACTATAGTCAATCAATCATCCATTCTTTCAACAAATACCTACTAATTTTTTTTTTAGCTCCACACTAGGGATAAGACAGTAAATAAGAACTAAGAACGGGACATGACTGAATCCCAGCATTGAGGAGGAAGGATTGTGAGGGGTTTTGTTTGTTTGTTTCTCCCTTTTAGAATCATGAGTTTGAGGCCAGCCCGGGCTATAGCTACACTCTGTCTCAAAAAAAGATAAAGATAAAGAAAAGAAAAAGACCAACATAGTCTCTGCCTTCACAGAGCTTTATGCGTAATGCAGATTAGATGCTTATAGAAATGAGTTTGTGAGAGACTCATTTTCCATATTTATAAAGCGGGACTGTAGCACTTTATAGTTGATGTGAAGGTTAAATGAGATGAATTTTAGTAAATGTGAAGGTGCCTTTTTTTTTTCTGAGTGGCACTGGGGTCTGAGCTCAGGACCTTGCCCTTGCTAGGCAGGCACTTTATTATGTGAGCCACACCCCAGCCCATGAAAGTGCTTTGTAAACTATAGTTCTATTAGGTTAGAGCATTCTTTTATTATTCTCAAGCAACTCTCAGTATTATCTATCTAAGAGCAATCAGTCATTCAGCCGTCTTATATCACAGCCTATGATCTGATTGTATACAAATTTGTAGTGAATTTCCACTTCATTCCAGTAAATCTAATCTCAGTTTTCTCTTCAGCCACTACCATACACCACCTTGTTGTATTATATTTCTTATCCTTTTGGAAAACCTCCAGTTTGCATCATTACGTAAATTTTCCTTCTGGAAAGAGAGCAGTGTATATAGTTTGAATATTTAATAGCTTCTCCTATGTTATAGACTCTTGGTTATACTTCATATTAAAAACTAACATTGGAGCTGGATGCGGTGGCTCATGCCTATAATTCTAGCTATTTGGGAGACTAAGATTGGGAGAATAGTAATTCCAGGCCAGTCAGGACAAACAGATCATGAAACCCCATCTCCAAAAAATAACCAGATCAAAATGGACTGGAGGCACAGCTCAAGTGATAGAGTGCCTGCTTTGTAAGCATGACATCCTGACTTCAAAACTCCAGTTCTACCAAAAAAAAATAAACAAACAAACAAAACCTAATATTATTGGGCTAAGGGTAAGGCTCAAGTGATTGAGTTCCTGCCTAGCAAGTGGAAGGGGCCCTATATTCAAATGCCAGTACTGACAAAAAATTAACAACAAAAACTAACATTACTTTTTTTAGGGGTGGTACTGGGATATGAACTCAGGGCCTCATGCTTGCTAGGCTGGTGTTCTACTGCTTGAACCATTCCCCCATCCCTGTATGGCACTTTATAATAATTGAAGATAGGGACCTAGTTTTACTCTCTCTAGTACTTTGGAAATGTTTGTTCATGCATATAGCCTTACGTTAAAAATATGGACTTTTATCTAGGTGTGATGGTGCATGCTTATAATCCCAACATTTAGGAGGCAGAGGCAGGAAGATCATGTCTGAGGTCAAAAAACAAACAAACAATAACAAAAAACAAGGACTCTGATGTCAATCCAACCCTGGCAATTTGCTTAGTTGTATAACCCATGGAAGAGTTACAAATTTTCTGATTTTGTTTCCTTAGAAACAATGCTGATATCTACTATGTGGGATTATAGTGAGGTTTAAATGAGTGTATAACATAATTCTGTTTCTGGTTCATTGTAATTGTTCCATAAATGTTTAGTATCTTTTAAGCTTTATGCTCTTTTTTTGGCAGCACTGGGTTTTGAACTCAGAGCCTCATGCTTGCTAGGCAGGTGCCCTTACCACCTGAGCCATTCCACCAGTAGTTTTGTGCTCTTTCCACAAATACTTTGTTTCTTTTATACTTAGCTTCTATCTACTCTGCAAACATTAATCCATTAGTGAAATCATATCAATCGTTTTTGAGCATGTTAAGTTAAATGTTTGTTTTTATTTTACTGGCTATTTTGTTTCCCCACTTCTGTAGGTATAGTGAACATAGCTGTGAACAATGTTCAAGAGTTGATTGTTGCAGCGGATATGCTACAGTTGACTGAAGTTGTTAATCTTTGTTGTGAATTTCTGAAAGGACAAATTGATCCACTGAACTGCATTGGGATCTTTCAGTTCTCTGAGCAGATTGCCTGCCATGATCTTTTGGAATTCACAGAAAACTATATTCATGTTCATTTCTTGGAGGTTCACAGTGGGGAAGAGTTCTTGGCACTTACAAAAGACCAGCTGATCAAAATTTTACGAAGTGAAGAGCTTAGCATTGAGGATGAATACCAGGTCTTCTTGGCTGCAATGCAGTGGATTCTGAAAGATCTGGGAAAGAGAAGGAAACATGTGGTGGAAGTGCTAGACCCAATTCGGTTCCCCTTATTACCTCCTCAGAGGCTTTTAAAGTACATAGAAGGTAACTTTTTTTTTTTTCCGTATATCAAATTAGTTGATTATCAAGTAGCTTTTTGTCTGAGATGGGGCAGTTTTCATTTTCTGATTGAACAGTAGTTATTGAATGATTCTATAATGTACAGTTTTGGTGGGTAGAAAGCATTATTAAAATAATTACATCTCTTATTAGTCAAATCCTTATATATCTTTCTTGAAACTAATTAATAAAATAATAGTATTATAGATAAAATTACTGACAGAGCTAATACTGCTCTGCTGTTGATAGTATTAATTATTTCAGTATCATATTTCCTCTTGCCATTTCGAAATACTCAGCAAAGCCTAACATTAGAGGAAAATGCATACACTAAAAACAAAAACAAAATTCAATAAATGCTGTAAGTCTTATCACTATAAATTGAATTTCATATCAGTATGATATCATAGCTTCTGAGTAGACTTTGAATCATCTTTAGATTGTAAACTTTTTTTTTTTTTTTTGGTGGGACTGCGGTTTGAACTCAGGGCTTCATGCTTGCAAAACAAGTGCTTTATCACTTGAGCTATATCTCCAGTCTATTTTGCTGTGGTTATTTTGGAGATGGGATCTCAAGAGCTATTTGCCCAGGCTGGTGCTGAACTGTAATCTTCCCATTCTCAGCCTCCCAAGTAGCTACGATTACAGACTTGAGCCACTGGTGCCCAACTAGATTCTAAACTTTTTTATTTATTATTAGTGGGTTTTTTTGATGCTAGGGATTGAACTCAGGGTGTTATACATGCTATGCAAGCACTGAGCTATACCACAGCCCCAACTCTAAACTTCTTCCTGAAAATATTTTCATCACAGCATAGAGTAGTTTTTATCTTTATATTAGAAAAATAATAATATTTAAATTTCTTTTTAAAAACAACTAAATTTTCAAGATTTGAAGATTTTACTGTTGTCTTTTACTGAAACATTAGGTTGTAATATGATACTACATATTAAATATGTTATTAAACATCAAAGATGTAATTTTATGAAGAAACTATTTTAAATAGTATATTTTAGTTTACTCTCAGCAGTGTTTACAGAATTTTTTAAGGTTTTACTGAGTGACATTTTATATTAATACATGTAGAGTTGATTGTCATTTGCAGTAGCTGTGTTTTGTAAAGTTGCTACGAACACTGAATTAGCAAATACCAAGCAATTATTCCTAGGCGAAATAAATATAAGGTTTTCCTGCAAGTGTCTGGTCACAATATTTTTGTCATATAATCAATACATAGCTTTGTTTTATGTGTGTGTGGTTTTTTGTTTTTTTTTTGCCTAAAACACCTTATTTAATATATATATGGTTGATTTATGGCATTGAATTCATGGCCAGCAGCACTATTAACTCATTCCTGAATGAATTATCTAATACAAATGCAGTTATCCCTCAGTGTCTGTTGGGGATTGGTTCCAGGCCTCCTGAGGATGTCAAACTCCACAGATGCTCGAGTCCTTTATATAAATGATATTTGAATGTAACTTATGGACATTCCTTCCATATACATTAAATAATTTCTAGATTACTTATAATATCAAATATAATGTAAATAGTGTATAAATATGTATTTATACTGCATTATTTAGAGAATAATGACAAGAAAAGTTTGTATATGTTGAGTACAGACACTTTTTTGGTAAATATTTTCTACCTACAGTTGATTATATCTGTGGATGTGTTACCCACAGATTTAGAAGGACAGCTGTATTTTGTCTTTGTGGCCCATAGTAACTTTGTTGCGAATACGAACACTATTTTCACTATTTGTACTTGAGCACTTGAATGGTCCCCAACTTGAATGGCTGGGGACCATGTAAAACAACAAAATCAACAAAAAGCAAAAACAAAACGATAACAAAACCCAACAACAACAACAAGAAACCCATGGCACTAAATAGACTGTGAAAAGGATACTTGTTTACAGTTTAAGAGCTGAAATCAGAAGTCAGAATGAGGCCTTCTTCAATCTCACCCATGTAAGGTAATTCAGATTTTTTTTTTTTGCTATTCTGCACATCTATGAATAACTAACTGAAAAGCATCCCAAGTACTAATTCTGGTGTTAAAAATATACTTTAGTGTTAGGCATGGTTGTACATGCCTGTAATCTCAGCACTTAGGAGGCTGAGGCAGGAGGATTATAAATTCAAGGCCAGCTAGGCTACATAGTGAGACTCTGTCTCAAGATAATAAACCAGAACTAAACCAAGCCAAAACAAAAAACCCAAAACAAAACATTTTAGCAAGTAGATATATTCACAAATAAGGAATCCACAAATAATAACCCAGTGTGTTTAAATGCTAAAGCAAGAGAGAGAAATTATTCAAACATATTTTTGTATCAATTATGAGAGAATTTAGGAATTGATAAAGGCATTTATGGATGAGTTGGTTGTTCCCAAATGCCCAAGATATAGAGTACTAAAGGAAAGTTTCTCTGCTAGGAGCAAGACAAGGTTCATTACAATTAAATATGTTTTGCGATAGCCTTTTAGGTTTGTAATTTTCAAGTCTTTGTTGGTTTTTAAGCAGACCCAATAGTTATTACCTAAAGGTATTTTACTGAAGGAAAAACTTAAAAGGAGTCCGATTTTTTCATCTTTAAGCTGGGTACTGGTGGCTCACACCTGTAATTCTAGCTACTCAGGAGGCAGAGATCAGGAGGATTGCAGTTCAAAGCCAGTGGGGCAAATAGTTCATGAGACCCTATCTTGAAAAAACCCATCACAAAAGAAAGGGCTGATGGAGAGGCCCTGAGTTCAAGCCCCAGTACAGCTAAATAAATAAATAAATAAACTTTAATATTTTTCAACTTTGAAACTAATTATATTGGAAAAAATATGGGCAACTTATATAGGAAAATAGGGAAACTACCGAGGGAGCAAACTACGTAACTAAAGTAGTTAAATTGTGTTATGTGAAATGTGTCAGTTTTTCCTTAGTATTTTTTGCATATTTACTGCTAGATAAAATAGTTTAAGCAATTTGATATTATTAGATATATTGTAATATATTTACATTTTGTATTTTAGAGAATGATTTTTACTTCTTTTAGAATGGTACATGCTTATTATAAAACACTAAGGTAATACAGAAGTATAAAAAACAACAGGACTGGGGATGTAGCTCAGCTGTAGAGTGCATAAAAGCAAGGCCCTGAGTTCAATCCCTAGAATAGCAAAAACTAACCAAACAACAACAAATTACCTAAGTCTGCCACTTAGAAATAACCCAGGTTTTTGTTTCTTTGGTGAACTAGGGACTTTATGCTTGCTAGGCATTTTTTGATTTAGTTAGTTTTGGGACAGGGTCTCAGTTTTTGCCTACTACTAGCTTTGGACCACAATCTTCCCACCTATGGCCTCCAGGGTAGCTGAAATGAAAAGTATATACCACCATGCTCAGCTATTGGTTGAGATGGGGTCTCATTAACTTTTTTCCCTGACTGGCCTCCAACATTTTTTCTCCCAGTCTCTGCCTCCTGAGAAGCTGAGATTACAGATGTGAGCCACCATGTTTTGCATCCAGAAATAGTCAGTTTTACTTCAGATTTAGGAAACATCATTTTAGGTATCTCTATACAGGAAGACAGGTAATGGATGGATGGGTGGTTAAATGGGTATTAGAAAAGAATTTTAATAAGAATAATATTCATTCACTGGGAGCCAGTGACTCATGCCTGTAATCCTAGATACTTGGGAGGCCGAGATCAGGAGGATTGTGATTTGAATCCCCACCCCCGCCACATCTGCAAAATAAGCAGAGCAAAATGGACTGGCCATGTGGCTCAAGCAGTACAGTGCTTGCTTGGCAAGCAAGAAGCCCTGAATTCAAACTTTGGCACCACAAAAAATAAAATAAAATAAAAATAATAATCATCCTCTACTTTGTATTTATAATATAATATTATAAAATGTTTTTAAAACGTTAAAAGTTAACAGAAGAAGAATTAATAACTAATTTCAGATTATTGTTTCTTCATCTCAAGAACTATTCTAAAAGATGATGAAAACCATTTGAAGATGAATTCATAGTTTCATTTTGTGTTTTAATTTTTTTGGCAGCATTGGGATTTGAACTCAGGGCCTCATCTTGTTAGGCAGGTACACTACCACTTGAGTCACTCTACCAGCCCTTGTGTTTTAATTTTAAGCAGTATCAACTCTCTGCTAAGAGAAGTGAGGCACTTAGCATTTTTATCTCTCTTTACATCTACTCTCTCTGTTAAGATTTTTAGGTTTTATTTATGTTTTCAATTAGATTCCTTTAGCTCTGTGCTTTGAGCTCAGTATTCAAATGAATTTGATGCTCTTTACCGGTTTTTCCTTTCTTTTTTCTTTATTTTAAAATCTTTGTTCTCTACCAGTTTTTCAACTGTGGTGTTTTTATTAGCAAATTTTTCTTTTTTATTTACTGTTTCAGTTGACTGGGTTTCATCAAGTGCTTTTTTCAAAAAAAAAAAAAAAAGATCATGGCTACTTTTTTGATTTTTTTTGTTTTGTTTTTGATGGGACTGGGGTTTGAACTTGGGTCTTTGTTCTTGCAAAGCAGGAGCTCTACCTCTTGAGCCATGCCTCCAGTCCCTTCAGACTTTGTAAGGCGTAGTGTTTGTTTTATTTTGTTTTGTTATATTTTTGGTTTGGTTGTTTTTAATGACTTATCTTTTCTGGTTAAATGCTTAAGAACTTATCTTAGGACTGGATACATGACTTAGCAGTAGAGAACATGCTTAGCAATGAAAGAATTCTCTTTCATTCTTGATTTGTTTGAAAGTTTGCCATTTTTCATTATATTCTACCATATATCCTTTCCTTTAATTTCTCCTTTTGGAGAAATTTTCCTGCTTGAAATTTCTAAATACTTTAAAGTGTTTTATTTAGTATTCTTTATCCTTTTGTTGGAACTTCATCTTTCATATTTATCATCCTCTAATGCTATATTTTTTTCTTTCTTGTCATAATCGTTTTCTTTTGCCTGTTCTTTAAATTGATAATTTAACTTTCAGTCATAACTATTTCTCTGGTTTCTGATTTATTAATTCTGCAATACTGATGTTTCAGTTCTCACATTGTTTCCTTGGCAATGCATCATTCTGTCCTTGAGCTTGCCTTTATAGGATTTATATTCTTAAGTAATTCTATTGTGTGAAACACTTGTGGGGAATGTGTTTCTATTTATGGTTCATGTTTCCTTCCAGACTGAATTCTTTGAATTCCTCAATCTCTTTTCTTTTTCCTGGGATGTGCTTTAATATTAGTTTTTAATATCTTGTTAACACTATCTAAGACCTGTTCTGATAATGTTCTGATAATCCTTGACACTTTTTTCTTACTGTAACTACTTTGATTTTCTTGTGTAAGATTGGAGAGCAATATGTTGTTTCTCCCCATTTCTTTTCTAGTCTGAAATATGGGATGGAGGAAAGATAGCATTCTAAGGGTTAATGTCCTTGTTTGGGCTCTGATCTCCCTTTTGAGATCCTGTTACTGATCTTGAATTAAGGCCTACTTAACTAACTAGCTAGGGATGTATTCCAGTAATGTGGACTTTGTCTACCACTGTATTCTGTTAGAAGTTCTGATCTTTTTTTATCTTTACCTATGGTTCTGTAAAGATTTTTCTCCCCTTGTGCTGGGGGGAACCCAGAGCCTTGTGCATGCTAGACAAGTGCTGTACCACTGACCCACGTTGCAGCCCTGATAATTGTGATCTTGCTCCACTTTGCCATCTTTATTTGAAGGTTCTTGTACATGTGTTTTCAATTTGCTGTTATGAAGTATATATATGTGTATATATATATATATATATTATTATTGTTATTCATTTATTCACATGTGCATACATTGTTTGGGTCATTCCCCCCCCCCACTGAAGTATATTTAAAAAAAATTTTTTTTTTGTTTTGGTATTGGGGGTTGAACTCAGGACCTCACACTTGCTAGATAGGTACTCTACCACTTGAGCCACTCTGCCAACCCTTTTTTATGTTGAGTATTTTCAAAATAGGGTTTCCCAAACTATTTTGCTCAGACTGGCCTCAAACCATGATCCTCCTGATCTCTGCCTCCAGTGTAGCTAGGATTACAGGCACGAGCCATTGGCACCCAGCTTTTAAAACATTTTTTAATAAATTTAAGGAAATTATATTCTTCCATCTCAATGAGAAAAACAATATTCAGTATTATAGGAAACAAACATCATTGTTTGAGGAGTTTTTAACTTACTGATTTCTAAATGTGTCTCATGTTTATAGAAATATGTTTACAGAAATATGCCTTTTCACTAGTATTTAAAAGTTACCTAAAACATTGTCTTTTTAAACATTGCTTCTTAGGTGTATCTGATTTTAATCTTCGTGTTGCACTGCAAACACTTTTGAAGGAGTATTGTGAGGTATGCAAATCTCCCAAAGAGAACAAATTTTGTAGTTTTCTGCATACGTCTAAGGTTCGACCTCGGAAGAAAGCAAGAAAGTACCTATATGCTGTAGGTGAGAACCTTTAAAAAAGTAATAGATGTTGTCTTTATTTTCAGGATCAAAGCTTTTTAAATAGTTTGTTGTTATTACTACACATGTCAGAATAGGCAGGTGTGTCATAGGCATATTTAATTTCACATTCAGGCTACAGATTTATAAATTGCACTTATATACTACACTGGACACATTTAAAAAGAAATAGCTACTCATTTGATATCTGTTATTCTGTGATCTAAATATTTGGTTTCTTAATCCAAAAATTTTCATCAAATGACTGACTAAAGAAATATTTCTCTAAAAGTTAAAATTCTGAATTCAAATAAAAATAAGGAGAATAAATCTCAAAATTTGCAGCTATTCCGAGTGCCTTAAATGCTGATTAGGGATGATAGAACCAGTGTCATTATGTAGCATAAACCGTAAGAATATCTAAGGAACAAATTAAAAGTTCTTTTTATTTTTAATTTAAAAGCATTAAACCTGATCAATATTTAATATCAGAGTAAAAGATTGTATATATATATATATATATATAAAATGTAATTTTTATGTAAGTGCTTATGTATGATATAATTTATAATTACATATAATTAATTTTATGTATAATTTCACATATAAGATATAAATATACACCTTTGGGGTGCATGCTAAAATTTTTTTTTATTCATTTATTCATATGTGCATACATTATTTAGGTCATTTCTCCCTCCTGCCCATGCCTCCACCCTCTCCTCCCCTCCCCCCTCCCTTCCAGGCAGAACCTGTTTTGTGCTTTTCTCCAGTTCCATTGAAGAATAGAAATAAGCAATAATAAGAAAGACAGTATTTTTGCTGGTTGAGATAAGTACAACTATACAGAGAGATTCCTAGCATTGCTTTCATGTACAAATATGTTACAACCTAGCTTGATTCATTTCTAACTGATCTTTACACTGGTTCCTGATCCCCTTCTCTTGTTGACCTCTGTCACTTTAGGGTTTCTGTATTAATTCCTCTGGAGTGGGGACATCAAATGCTTTCATGTTTTCGGTTTTCTGTCTAACCCTGTACCTCCTGTATATGTTCTCCCTTTGTCATGTAACCCAAGTCCTACAACATTGCTGTATTTGCCCTAAATCTAAAGACTGCATATGAGGGAGAACATATGATTTTTGGTCTTCTGAGTCTGGCTAACCTCGCTCAGAATGATGTTCTCCAGTTCCATCCATTTACTTGCAAGTGACAAGATTTCATTTTTCTTCATGGCTGAGTAAAATTTCATTGTGTATAAATCCATAACTTGGCTATTGTGAAGTGCTGCAATAAACATGGGTGTGCAGGTGCTTTTGGAATAACCTATGTCGCAGTCCTTTGGGTATATCCCCAGGAGTGGGATTGCTGGATCATATGGCAGGTCTATGTTTAGATTTTTAAGAAGCCTCCACATTTTTTTCCAGAGTGTTTGTACCAGCTTGGATTCCCACCAGCCATGGATCAGGGTTCCTTTTTTACCCACGTCCTCGCCAATACCTGTTGTTAGTGGTGTTGCTAATGATGGCTATTCTAACAGGGGTGAGGTGGAATCTTACTGTGGTTTTGATTTGCATTTCCTTTATGGTTAGAGATGGTGAGCATTTTTTCATGTATTTTTTGGCCATTTGAAATTCTTCTTTTGAGAAAGTTCTATTTAGTTCAGTTGCCCATTTCTTAATTGGTTCATTGATTTTGGGAGTTTAGTTTCTTAAGTTCCCTGTATATTCTGGTTATCAGTCCTTTGTCTGACATATAGCTAGCAAGTATTTTCTCCCACTCTGTGTGGGTGGTCTCTTTAATTTAGAGACCATTTCTTTTGTTGTGCAGAAACCTTTTAATTTTATGAAGTCCCATTTGTCCATTCTTTCTCTTAGTTGCTGGGCTGCTGGGGTTCTACTGAGGAAGTCCTTATCTATACCTATTAGTTCCAGAGTGTTTCCTGCTCCTTTGGGGTCTGATATTAAGATCTTTGATCCATTTTGAGTTGATACTAGTACAGGGTGATAGACATGGATCTAGTTTTAGTTTCTTGCAGATGGATAACCACTTTTCCCAGCAGCATTTGTTGAAGAGGCTGTCTTTTCTCCATTGTATATTTTTGGCTCCTTTGTCAAAAATAAGGTGATATACCCACCTTATTTTATGTGGATTCATATCCAGATAAAATAAAATTCATATCCAGGTCCTCTATTCTGCTTCACTGGTCTTCATGTCTGTTTTTGTGCCAGTACCATGCTGTTTTTATTGCTATTGCTTTGTAATGTAGTTTGAAGTCGGGTATCGTGATACCTCCAGCATTGCTTTTTGCTGAGTATTGCCTTGGCTATTCGCAGTCTTTTGTGTTTCCAAATGAACTTAAGGGTAGATTTTTCAATCTCTGTGATGAAAGTCATTGGGATTTTGATGGGAATTGCATTAAACATGTAGATTGCTTTTGGTAGTATAGTCATTTTTGCTATGTTGATTCTTCCAATCCATGAGCATGGGAAATCTTTTCATCTTCTGTAGTCTTCCTTGATCTCTTTCTTCAGGGGTTTGTAATTCTCCTGGTAGAGGTCATTCCCATCTTTTGTTAAGTTTACTCCTAGGTATTTGATATTTTTTTGAGGCTATTGTAAATGGAATTGTTTCCATGTATTTCTTCTCAGTTTGTTCATTGTTGGTATATAGAAAAGCTAATGATTTTTGTAAGTTGGTTTTATATCCTGCCACCTTGCTAT